ATATATATATATATATATATATATATATATATATATATATATATATATATATGAAACCATAACATACATAACTGACTCACTTTTCTATACACCAGGAACTAACACAGCATTGTAGATCAACTATACTTCAATTAAAATATTTCAAAAATAAAATTTAAAAAGACATTTCATTTCTAAATTTGTATGTATCAAATGACATGTCAGCAAAATATATAAAGCAAAAATTGTCAGAAGTAAAATGAAAAATCAAATCTACAATTCTATTTGGAGATTATACATCTTTCAGAAACTGATTGAAGAATCAGACAAAAAATGTCATTAAGGAAAAAGACATTTCAACAACATGATATCTGTCCATCTATTTCTGGTCACCCAGAGTTTCCACAAATTTTCATAGATATTGTTTACACACACACACACACAAACACACACACACACACACACACACACACACACTACCTATCTACAGTTATAACCAGCAATGAGAAAATACACATTGTTATCAGATGTACATGGTACATTTACCAAAATAGACTATCTGATAGACCAAAAAGCAAGTATAATGAATTTTAAAAGATTGAAGCATATACTGTATGTTCTTGGACCTCTGTGGAATTAAGCCAAAAATCAACTCCAAGAAGATAACTAGACAGTCACCAGATAGAGAAATTAAACAGATACTCTAGATCATTCATAAGTCAAAAAAAAATCACAGTGTAGATTACACGATGTTTTTAACTAAGTGATAAAATATGGCATGTCAAGACTTGTGGATTACAGCTAAAACAGTAAACAGAGGAAGATTTATAGCTCTAGTTCTATAAAGAGAAAGGAAAAAAGGCTATAAAATCAGTAATATAAGTTATCAGAAGAAATGTTTAAATGCCAGTCAAGTCAAGAGAAAGTAGAAAAAGAAAATAATCAACATGACCTGGAATAAAAATAAAGTAGAAAATTTAAGGAGAAATTAAAAAGCCAAGTGTGTTTTTGAGAAGACTATAAAAATCAAAAAAACCTTAGGCCAGTGAAAAAAGATATGTCACAAATTAACATTTTTAGGAAAAGATGTCACTAAAGATGCTATAAAGATAAAAAATTATTAAGAGGGGCTTCCCTGGTGGCGCAGTGCTTGGGAGTCCGCCTGCCGATGCGGGGGACGCGGGTTCGTGCCCCGTTTCGGG